AGGGAAAAAAAGAGAGCTGTTATTGCTAGTAATCTAATTTGCTGAACCCTTGCTCTGACTAAGTTGCTGAGAAGCTCAGTAATTCTTCATCATGTTACAATAAATCATTTTACTTTCTTTTATATATCAGCTACTCTTAGGCCAGATAGCCTGAGCAGACAGACATGATGTGAGTTGTCCAAAGTGAGTCATTCCACCTGCTGTCTTCCGTGTTGTTGGATGGTGCTTGTGGGCCTCAATCCCTGTTAGTGTGAGAGGTGGCTGTCTGTGCTTAACATGAAATCTATGTACTTGTCCATTTTTTTCCATTCTTTTCTTTCCTCCATCTTCAGATAAATAAATAAAAACCACACACACGAGAGGAAATGTTAGAAATGCTATATATTAAAATAGTTGCTTGCCAGTTACGTGGGTTTATTGTTACACATTTGCCTTCTGTTTCGTATGTGACCTGATTCCTTTTTTTCTTTTTTTAATTTAGTGTTGTTTAGGACAAATTATGTTGCGTTCATTCCCCTCCCCCCCCCACCAAATCATGGTGTTCCACTAAAAATATAAACGTTGATGAATAAATTGCTTTGCATTACATATGCAAGCGCATGGAGTGACCATTCTTTTCCTTGAGGGAAGAGCTATACAACTGGGTGCTAAATTGTTGCATTTGAACCTTTTCCATTTGTTTTCAAATTCCTAAATTCAAAGTATCATTGACGCTCCACGGAAAAGCAGTATTACTCTGTAAAATTCTCTCTCTCTTCTATAAGGTGCGTAACTCCTTACACTTTTGGGGAAGTCCCGTCCCCCTCACGTTCCTCGAGTCTTACTTTCAAGTACAACTTTGTCCTGAACCACATTAAAGACCTTTATAGAATAAGAACGTTGGGCTCTGGTGTCGGCAATAACCCGAAGATGTCCCTTTTCTGTTTCAGGACATTCACTGAACAATGCCAGGGATACAAGTGCCATGGATACTCTACCGCTAAATGGTAATTTCAACAACAGCTACTCTTTACGCAACGGAGACTACAACGACAGCGTGCAAGTTGTAGACTGTGGGCTAAGCCTGAATGACACCGCCTTTGAGAAAATGATCATTTCGGAATTAGTACACAACAACCTGCGGGGCAGCAGCAAGAACCACAACCTGGAGCGCACATTGCCAATCAAAGCTGTGATCGGCGGGAGCAGTAGCGAAGACGACGCCATTGTAGCAGATGCTTCGTCTCTGATGCACAGTGATAACGCCGGCCTGGAGCTGCACCAAAAGGAACTTGAGGCGCCTCTGATTCCCCAACGGACTCACTCCCTTCTGTACCAGCCACAGAAGAAAGTGAAGACGGAAGGAACAGACAGCTACGTGTCCCAGCTGACGGCCGAAGTTGAAGACCACCTCCAGTCCCCCAACAGAGACTCTCTGTACACAAGCATGCCCAACCTCAGAGACTCTCCTTACCCGGAGAGCAGTCCCGACATCGAGGAAGACCTCTCTCCCTCCAGGAGGAGCGAGAATGAGGACATTTACTACAAGAGCATGCCAAACCTTGGAGCTGGCCATCAGCTTCAGATGTACTATCAAATCAGCAGGGGCAATAGTGACGGCTATATAATTCCCATTAACAAGGAAGGATGTATTCCGGAAGGGGACGTTAGGGAAGGACAAATGCAACTAGTGACAAGCCTTTAATAGTGTAGCAAAGGAATACTGAAGGCCACATTGCAAGTATTAAACAGACTTAATTGGCCCCATGCAGGCTCCCTCATATCTGCTCGAAGCGACAATTTCTGTTGTCCCTGTGGTTTCTCCCGTGTAAAGGAGACGACTGGACCTTGCAGTTCTGTGAATTTTTATAAAACAAAGCTTTGTATATACACAGAGTATACTAAAAGAATTATTTGTTACAAACAGAAAAAAAAGAGATACCATCAAGGTATTTTAAGATATCTTGCTGCTGACGTAAAAGAGATTGTGAAACACACACACACACACACACACACAACGTTCCAGCCATTTTACTGCAGCAGTTTGTGAACTAAATTTGTAAATATGGCTGCATCATTTTTTGTAGGCCTGCATTGTATTATATACAAGACGTAGGCGCTAAAATCCTGTGGGACAAATTTACTGTACCTTACTATTCCTGACAAGACTTGCAAAAAGCAGGAGAGAGATTCTGCATCAGTTTGCGGTTCACTGCAAATCTTTTCCATAAAGGTAAAGATTGAAAACCTGTCTAACCACTAGCAATCAAGCCACAGGCCTTATTTCATATATTTCCTCAACTGTACAATGAACTGTTCTCATGAAAAAAAAATGGCTAAAGAAATTATATTTTGTTCTATTGCTAGGGTTAAATAAATAAATAAATAAATACATTTGTGTCCAAACAGAAATATAATTGTCATTAAAATAATTTTAAAGAGTTTGAAGAAAATATTGTGAAAACGCTCTTGGTTGCACATATGCTACAAGCTGTCCGTCCCCCCGTCCCCCTTTTACACTTGGTTCATAGTAGCGTAATATGTTAAGAAAGTTCTATCCATTTTCACTTCTTTTTCACTGTAAACAGTGCTCTGCTTTGACGTTAGTATTTCTTCTTATGTTTTAAATTTCTTATTGCCAAAAGAACATATATTTTTTTCCGGGCAGAATTCTTTTAGACGCCAATTAATTTCATGCCTTGCACACTATGAAATTTGGGCTGTTGTTGTGTTTTTTAAAAAAAGAAAAATCTATATCCAGTTATAAATCACTTCCCTTTTCATTCTTTTAACTTTGAGGAAGGCTGAAAGGAAGGGAAGTGGCCAAAGGGACAGACATACTAGTGAATCTCAAACAAACTAATGAATTAAAGGTGCCTGACCTTTTTAAGCTAAGAGAAAACATAAATACTCTTCCATATTCCTCCTGCCTATATTTAGTAATTAATTTATTTTATGATAAAAGATCTAATTAAATGTACATTGTTTCAGGGGTTTTTTTGCTTTTTTTTCAATCCCTTTGTGTAAACCTGTTAATAATGAGCCCATCACTAATATCCAATGTAAAGTTTAACACCTGTTTGACAGTAAATAAATGTGAATTTTTTTTCCAAATAGGTAAAACGCTCTTTCTTACATATGAGTCATAAGCTCGATTATTCACCGTGTGAGCTGGCTAAATTCAGCTTAGCATCACTCCCTTACAGTTCTCAATTTATATGGAGAGGTCTGGTGTAGGAGCTGCCTATATATCTCTATTGAATAGAGGTCATTGCTGCTACTTGATATTCTAGTCATAGTCACATATGATCAAGATCAGAAACATGAGCTCTGTTACAAAAGTGTTCGGCAGCCTCCTCCATTTACATAACAGATTTTTTAAAAATTCAAATAGGAATATGATTTATTAAAAATAAAAAAGGATGCAAACTCTGCAGTAATATTTCAGGCAACTGTAATTATATGGCTATAATTAGTGATAAAGATAAGCTCTTGTCGCAGGGAGAGAAAAAATACTAATATTGCAGCATTTATAGGAGTGCCGTGAATATTCAGGGCCTTGCAAAATATGGTAAATCACAGCAGTCTTTTGTGCTATGCAAATTAGCGTTTCTGTTATTACTACTATTAGCAGATGGGGAAATCGAGGCAGGAAGCTGATACTTTGCCCAAAGCTTTATAGCATGAAGCGGGATTTAATTTCAGATGCACTACTTTGGAACTGTCTGTTCATTCCTTTTCACTAAATTGTCCATAGATTACTTGAGATTCCGGGTTTTCATTTGCAAAAGCTTGGATTTAAGTATTATACTGATTTTTTGCTAAATTGTTGCAATCTTCCCTCCCTGCTCACCACTTTTGTTGTTGCAACCCTGACTGTTAGAAAAATCAAATTCACACAGATACTTGTATATCTTCATTTTGCCACACCCTGCCAGCATTTTCCTTAATTACAGCTATTTGGTACAATCCACCGAGAAGTTCTGCAGAAGCGCCATTGTCTTGCATTCCTCAACTTCCCAATGGCCTTTACATATTGATTAATGGGATTTCATCAAAAGAAAGCTTTTGTGATTTATAGCTGCTATGCATGCCTAAGGAAGGACCAGCAAATGCACATTGAGTTTTATCATAAGTTAGGGGTTCCCCCATGATTGCTTCAGATCAGAATGATTTCCTAAGCTCACCGGGCCTTAATTTTTTTGCAAGGAAATCAGTAGCACCCTCCTTGATCTTTACCTCCATGTGCACTTCATAGCCAAAGTACCTAGTGGCTATATGGGGTAAACCATGGGTAGGCAAACTAATGCCCGGGGGCCAGATCCAGCCCAATCGCCTTCTAAATCCGGCCCGCGGACAGTCCGGGAATCGGCGTGTTTTTACATGAGCAGAATGTGTCCTTTTATTTAAAATGTATCTCTGGGTTATTTGTGGGACACAGGAATTCATTCATTATTATTTTTTTCAAAATATAGTCCGGCCCCCCACAAGGTCTGAGGGACAGTGGACCGGCCCCCTGCTGAAAAAGTTTGCTGACCCCTGGAAACCATATAGGTCATAAGCTAGAATTACGACACAGCTGTCATCTGTGCTTAAGGGCCTGGGAATCATTAATATCCAAGGCATTTTAGATGAACATCTTTGTTGGGAGGACAACCTGTTGTCCAAGTCTTTCTTCGTTATGATAAAGTCTTTCTGTAGATGCAACCTATGGTTATTAAGTTTTGCCATATTGTGGTATGTGGGGAATGCAATTGGAAGCACATTGCTTGAGCGTTAGCGCAGAATGTTAGAGGCACATGATGCAGTTAGCAGATCTGGTCCTGTGAACTGCCCAGAATGAATTCACATAAGTCATGTGTTGCAAGGTGCCCTGAGCTCTTTGGGGCTAACAACAAAGTCCAGCTAATAAATAAAGTGTACTTACATCATATACAACTGGTTTCCATGAGCCTGCAAAAGAGAGAAAAAAGACCATTCATTGGAATCTTCACCGCTTGCTGTAGCAGTCTATACCAACTGACAACGAAAGAACTATGTAAAGGAAGTAAGCAGATAAAGGCTTGAAAATTACACAATTCTTTTGTTAGCTGTTTCTTATTACGACAATTGCTATTAATTATGTAGAGAAATTATCAATATATATGATGCTAAACAAGATTTAAGTTAAACATCCGTGCTAGAAGCTAGATGAACAAAAAAGAACAGAAAAGGAAGAGTGGAAAAGACAGATGGAAACAGATAAGACCAAACAGAATTTACAGGCATATTTAATTCATAAGCGTTGTGTTCATTTGGTGATCACTTATTTAATGCTCTATTACTCATTGATTGTTTAGGATGCTAACCAACTGAATAGTTTCTTTTTGCCGCCTTTGTTATAAAGAAATCTGCAGTTAATCTTATCTGCTTAAAATACTCGGGGCCTCTACATTCTTATTGTTGTTGTTTTTTAATTACACAAACCACCATGGATAAATAGTGCGAGAAAATAGCTCTGCTACAGTTTTTGCAGAATTTATTTATTGCCATGGGGCTGGGATGAGTGCTCTGGCGGTACAAGGAAATTCGGAACTAAACAAAACGCTCAAGTAAAATTCAGAAAATGGTAAGGGAATGATATATTGCTTTGCTTGGTGTGTAGGTATGTGGTTTTTAAAAACCTGGCATTCAACGATTACAAGAGCGCTGCAACAAAGAGGGAGTATGCATCCACAAGGAATCATTGTAGTTTAAGGACGAGGACATCCGGCTACTCCTTGCTAATGACTTTGACATTAGTTCGAGATCTTGTTTGTAATCTATGAAATGTATTTGTCACCTTTTAAAGAAAAGAAAAAATCATCCATGGAATGGAACCTTATTCTGAAGGCAAAACTCTTAATAGCCACAGCATATCTCGAATTGGGGGAATCTTAACCAGGATCATTTAACTTAGTGGGAAGACAAGGAAAACTAAGTTATGTAGCAACATTGCATAAAAACAAACAATAAATGCAGCATGGAGGCAGGAAGACTATAACTGGTTGTCATCTCAAGAATCGTAAGGGTGGAAATAAACCACACTGTAGCTGGAGTCACATGGCCGTTTATTTCCTTTTCATAACTTTTCCCTAACTTAAGTTCCACATTATATTTGAGCTTTCAGATGATGTGGTCACTTCCATGTTACTTGCTTCCGAGGGGGGGGGGGGAGGGGAGGGGAGTGTTTGCAAATAGTATGAAAATGAGTGTGATATATTCCACAATAGTTCCCAAAATGCCTTTCACTGTGTGTGAAGGCTCAAATACAACATGAAAACTAACAGTTTTGTGAAAATGGAATAAACTTCCATGTGACTACAGTTTGTGTCCTCTGAGCTCCTTGCCTGCCTCACCCTGCCATTGCTTGGTTGGGGAACAGTATTTCACAGGCTTTGTTTCCGCCTCTTGCTCGCAACCACACAAGGCGGCCGACAAACGCAACTCAGTGCTCCCCCAGTAATTTCCACCGCCCAGGCTTTGCCAAGCCAGTAATGGGCCCTTTCTCTTCAGCGCAGGCTGGCCATGGATATAGAAGGCTTTGCATTACAAAGACAAAATATTGCGTGGCACTTCACCTTTCCCTACCTCAAGTCTGTGTAACATTAAATGAGCTATGAATTGTAAGGTACTTTTATGCTATAGTGTGTCATAGAACTTTCAAATGTTTTATTTTTAAAGGTATTTTATTCATGCCAAAGTATGCCAACATCCCTTCTGACTCTATTACGTCTCTGCTTCTTTTCAAACACTGACCCTAACAACCATTATGGACAGGCCACTATCCCTATGGAACAATGGGCTAATATTGAAAGATCTGAACATCTACTTTTTCTCCTTGGCTTAATTGCCTGAAGGAGGTTTTTGTTGATTGGGTTTCTGCTGCTATTGGTTTCTGTTAAACTGCAGTAACTCTGGATTGGCTGCTCATCTCATTAGCTGCTGGTTTTGTTATTTTACCTGTGATTATATTCAGATCTTTAATTGGAAGACACCGTAAGGAAGTTTACTCCTAAAAGATGGCACAGTAATAATTTAATAAACAGGCAAGAACAGAGGAGCTGCCATAGACCAGGACAGAATATTTCTTCATCTAACTTGTTATTATCTACTCTTGACTGGCAGCAGCTGTCTAGGGCGGCCTTCTCCAACTTTGTGTCCTCCAGATTTCCTGGATTCCCAACCCCCATCCACCCCTGCATGGTCAGTGGTCAGGAATGATGGGCGTTATCAGATAGATCAGGAGGGCACCAGCTTGGGAAAGGCTTTACTAGGGCTGCAGGTATGGTTTGCCTCTCTCACTCACTACCTGGTCCTTAAACTGGGAACTCCAGCTATTGAACCAGGTATTTTTCTGTCTACCATTGAGCGAAATAGCCTGTTCAAAAGCCCGCTGTGCAAAAGTATTCGTTTTACTACAGGCATAATTCTACCTGCTTTGGAGAAACAGAAAGATCTGACCTTGACCTCATGGAAACCCTGAGAAAGATGTCTTTGTTTGCTTAAAAAATTGCCTTTTAATGCGGCTTTAGTGGCTACATTAGTGACACACAGATTGCTTTCAGTGTGCTATGCAAGATTGCTTGCCATTTATTTGGAATAGCATTCTTCATCCATTTCTATTTTCATAGTGTTAAAAGCCTGCACCTTGTGTGGCAATCGGTCATTAGCGATTTTTGAATGAAACTTTACAAGGCACGTCTTGCAGGAATTCTATAGACAGTCCTAGCTGTAAGCTTTCTTAATGGAGTCGAACACTTCATTCCCCACCTGCACAGTGGAGGTAACATCTGTTTATAACCTCAACTTGGCGGAAGATTATTGCACTTTTACACCCTGATGCAAACTGGAGAAAGCAGTTGCCAAGGAGGCAGAAGCATATTTCTGAGCCATTCTAGTAAATGCTAGTGAGAATGGTAGGCGGTAGCATGGGCACCCCAAACAACACAAGCCGTGGTGGTGGTTTGTCCCCATTGGGACTGGTAGGTTGGAAGGCAGGGAGGCCAACAGGCAAAGCCCAGAGCCAATGATCAGCAAAGCCAGAAGCCCAAAACGGGGGAACCAACTAATTTAACCCCATCTGCTTCCCTCTACAAAGACAAAACTCAGACTGGGGAGGTGGAAGGGGCACCCCTTGGGCTGGCTGTAAGCAAAAAGACAGGCATGAGTGCAGACTGAGATTAACCACATTCGCACCATATAGCTAAAGAAACAGCCATGATTTCTCCAAACGATTTGGGGAGCTGTAGTTTGTTAAGGATGCTGGTAAGTCTTAGAAAACTCCTATTCCCACCGCAGAGCTACAATTCCCAGAGTTCTCTGGGAAGGGGCATTGATGGTTAAATCACTTTGGGAACTGCGAGTTCTGAGAGGGGAACGGGGGTCTTTTAGAAACTCATAGCACCCTTAACAATTTTGAGAAGTAATTATTTGGGGGAAGCCATTCCTATTTAAAGTGGTATGCTGCTGCTTTAAATGAACAGTGCTTAAGGGCCCATAGCACTGGAAGGAATGTCAGAGGACTCTAGACCCTGCTGTTGCAGCAATGCCACTAGTACAGCATCCTTGAAAAGTGGCAATCCAATCTCTGCTGGTTTCAAGTGGTATCATGGTGCTTTCGATGTATGACATGAATTCTACCATTGGTGAGGAGTGTTCTAATTGCCCCTCTCACCCCTATTTCCCTTAGCAATGCGCCATGCCTCATTTCCCTTAGTAAGGCTTTTTCGATGTTCTGAGACAAAAGAACACCTATTCCCCCCTCACACAAACTTTGTTCCTCAAGGCTACTGACTCCGAGGACCATAAAACAGGCTGTGATTCTATGCGTCACTGACAGGAGTTGGAAGCAATGAAACAGAACCAACCTTAGCTGTGTTTGCCTGTGTGTGCTTGCACAAGCATTTAAAAATGGTTCTCTAAGAGGCTGCCTTCTGCCTATGCTATTCACACCTGCAATCAATGTACAGGTGGCACCAGGGTACCCCCCAGATACAACAACAATTAATTCATAAGCGCATTTATACAAACCGCGTGAAGTTCCGGTGGCTGCATCTCAGAAGAGATACTGTGGAACTGGAAAAGATGCAGAAAGGGGCCGCCAAACTGAACAAGTGTCTGGGGGGAAAGAGTTATAATATTTGGGCCTTTTTAGCCCAAAATTAATGGAGGATAAGGTGGTTTTATAGTCACAATGGATATAGACTCCAGTACCTTTGTTGGTGGGTACTATTACTCTGAGTACTAGTTACTAGGGAGAATATGCAGCCGAATGCTAAGGTGTTCTGTCCTTGTCAGCTTCCCATTAGCAACTGCTCAGCCATTGTGGGAACAAAACCCTGTTGGTGTGATCTAGCAAGCCTCTTATTTCTCATATCTTGCGTTGCATACTTTCTTCTATACATAATTCATTCTGCTTCTATTACAGTCATACCTTGGTTTTTGACAGTTTAATCCATTTCGGGAGTCCGTTCGACTCCCGGAACAGTTCAAAAACCAAGGCACAGCTTCCAATTGGCTGAAGGAGCATCCTGCAGCCAATCAGAAGCCACGTTGGATGTTCGGCTTCCGAAAATCATTCAAAAGCTGGAACAATCACTTCCAGTTTTCGATCGTTCAGGAGATAAAACATTCGAGTTCAAAGGCGTTCGGCTTCTGAGGTTCCACTGTAGTTACTAGAAATGCTAATATGCTATACAAAGTCCCATCCCCTAATTAGGGAATATTTTCTTTTTAGCAGCAATATTTCACCACGCATTAACCACACAAGAATATTTATGCAATTGCCAAGAGGGCTAGAAACTTGCTGGGGGGGGGGGGTAAATGAAGAGTGAAATCTTTTGGAAGTCGAACATTGTGAAAATGTGCTTTTTGGTAGAATCTTACAATACACAGAATGCTGAGTGTTTGCCTCGTCTTTTTTCAACACATGATTCATGCACCCAGTGTGGCTGAAGAACTGCGCCATAATGATCGAGTCTCATTAAAATTCAAAATTATGAAATGGTGTCTGTGTCAGTGTGTCAGGTGTGTGTGTGTGTGTAAGGAGGAGTAAAGAAGGAAGCATATCTTTCAGACCGCACTATTGCCTGGGATTTTGCCATCACTTCAGGGACAAGTGCCAGGAGATGAGAAAATGCCCCATGCTGCTTATAGTTAAAGAGGGCTCTAATTACATGCTGTCCTGGTGATTGTTCTATGGAGTGATAGATGCTGTATTTAAGTACATTTCATCTAACAATTTCTGGGGCGATTGTGAATTAGAAAATCAAGGCCGACTTGCTCACAGATTATTCTGTTCTGGCTTCTGTGCTCTTTGTCTCTTTAATTCATGCTCCCTCTAGCTTGCAATTTTAATTAGCACCTGCTTCCATCGCATGTGGGTTATGGCAGACTGTGTCACTACACAAAGCCGTGGGAATGTCAGGTTCCATTTTCTACAGTAAGTTGCGATCCCAAGACTTGACATGGAAGATCCGCGGCAAACATCTGGACCTAAACAGTTAAGGGATTGTGGTGACCACGTCCCAGACACGAGAAATACATCTGCATGCAGCAGTGGTGTGTGGTCAGTGGACTAGGGGGACTAGGCTAGCCCCCTAAATGTTCACAGTAAATTAGAGTATTAAAAGCCTGCACCTTCTTCCCAAAGTCTAGGAAGCTTCTGCCTCGCTTTAGAGAAAGAGGTACGATGCTCACGTGTGCAATGTTGGGAGGTCACGACCTCACACACGTGACATCCCCCCATCACCCTCACAAGCTGGCACCTCAGGTCCTAATTGTTCCCCTATAAAATATTTCACCGCTGGCATGCAGTACCATTCAGATGTCCGGTGCCTGTCATACACTTGCGCCCTGAAGCAGTGAGACTGAGCCACCAGCATAACCATTCATGAGTTGCCAGCTGTTGGGAGTAGAAGTGGTCCTTAGGGACACAGGTGGAGCTGTGGTCTAAACCACCAAGCCTCTTGAGCTTCCCGATCAGGTCAGCCGTTCAAATCCGCATGACAGGGTGAGCTCCCGTTGCTCTGTCTCAGCTCCTGCCAACCGAGCAGTTCAAAAACACACCAGTGCAAGTAGATAAATAAGTACTGCTGCAGTGGGAAGGTAAACGGCATTTCAGTCATGATGTTCTGTTGCGCCAGAAGCGGTTTAGTCCTGCTGGCAACATGACCCGGAAAGCTGTCTGCGGACAAACGCCGGCTTCCCCGGCCTGAAAGTGAGATGAACGCTGCAACCCCATAGTCGCCTTAACCGTCCAGGGATCCTTTACCTTTTACCTTTAGAAGTGGTCCTATGATGGAGAACCACAAGCAGAGGAGGCGCCTTACAAATTGGTATTGATTTAGGATTTATTCTGCAGGGGGAAAGATCCCCCAAAGCCAAGCGTATTTCAAAGGCCCTGAATCCCAGAGTTTGTGTCCTTCAAGAAAGAATCTTTCTAGAAAGAGTATCTCAAGAAAACTTATTCTTGAAAGGAGAAAGCTCCAACATTCATTGCCCTTGAAGAACATTTTAATAATATTGGATCAAACCTGGAATGCAGATTTGAGCTTTATTGTTAATGTCATGAAATTCCTTGCAATGGTAATTTCTGTTCTTCCCCCGATCTAGATTCTCGCCTGTAGGAGTTTATCTGCTGTTTTCCCAGCTGTGTCTTCTGTACTCATCTTCTCCCGCTTTCTTTTCCTGTGCTAGTTTTGGAACTAACATAGCTTTGTTTGTTAACCTTAACGGACGGACACACTGATAATTATTTTCTAAAATAAGAAATAGAGGAGGCGGGGTTTAGGTGCTGTTGTACAGCCAACATTTCAGATGAGCTCCTTGAATTGTAGAAGTTGAGGCTTTTCTTTCATTTATTTCTACTAACTCTAGAGTCAAGAGTTTTTATTAACGCATCCTTCAATTTCGAATCATGCTACTTTTATGTTCGTTTTTAAAAGCTTCATTTGATGGTAAATGTTCAAGAAAAGGTTATTGAGCTCATTCAGGATTCTCCCCTCTGTGCTATCCATTTACCAAGACAGTACTGATAGTTGAATAACTGGATTTTATTTTTTTTAAGCAAGCTAAACTATAATAAATTGCATTGAGTCTTCTTAACAAACAACTTTAACCTGAAGGCATTCACTTCTGTTAAGTAAATCTCTTATCCCATTACCTTTTAAAACACTTTTTTAAAAAAATAAAGGAAGAGATTAGGAAACATCCGCTAGGTTCCAGTGCCTCAATGATGAGTTGTATCTCTTCTTTCAGACTACCTGCAGCAGTATTGAGACCATTAATATGGCACGGTTTGATCTTGAGGTGCCACTGGGCTGCATGCCTCAAGAAGAAAATCAATAGAGCAGACAGAACGGATGAGATCCTAGATTCAATATTTTGTTATCTAAAGAGATCCGGGAGGGAGGAGTTTGTGAGGGTACAAAACATGAGAAAGTAGCCACACTGGAAGTTGCCTTAGGAGCCCAGACCACTGCTGTATGCACGCTGTGACTCTTCAGGATTGAATCTGGGACCTTCCCATGCCAAACAGAAGCTGTACCACTAAGCTGCAGCCCTTCTCCAAACCTCTTGTGGTGAAATTCTTGTGTGGATTTTGTGGTGCTGTGTGCGGCAGTAAAATACCTGCCAGCAACATGCCAGCAAGAAGGCTGTCTGAATGACAAGACTATTCAAATTTGTTAAGACACAGAACGGAGAACTGAGCTTGGTACTCAGTATCAGCCTTGAATCCAGCATAGTGCTAAGTATACATCCTCTCAACTCAAGGATTTCCACTTGTGAAATGGGACTTCCTCACTTCTTCTCAGCCTGCGTGCGCCCCATGTCCTCCCCAACTCTGCTCCAGATTGCTCCTGAGGACAGATTTTGAGGGAAGTGCAGGACAGTTACTTAGTGCTATGTTGTATGCAAGCCACATGTATTTTACAAGGCTAGTACAGTGGTACCTCTGGATGCAAATGGGATCCGTTCCGTAGCCCCATTCGCATCCTGAGCAGAACGCACCCCGCGTCTGCACGTGCGCATGTCGTGATTCGCCGCTTCTGCGCATGACATCATTTTGAGCGTCTGCACATGCGGCAAACCCCGGAAGTAACACATTCTGCTACTTCCGGGTTGCCGTGGAACACAGCCTGAAAATGTTCAACCTGAAGCATATTTAACCCAAGGAATGACTGTACCGTAGATTCAAACCTGCCTATTTTCAGCTTTCAGCCACATCGCTATAAACAGGGATCAGCAACCTTTTCCAGCCGTGGGGCAGTTCACCGTCCCTCAGACCATGTGGTCGGCTGGACTATATATTTTGGGGGGAAAATATGAACAAATTTCTATGCCCCACAAGTAACCCAGAAATGCATTTTAAATAAAAGCACACATTCTACTCATGTAAAAAACACTAGGCAGACCCCCCAAGTAACCCAGAGAAGCAATTTAAATAAAAGGACACATTCTACTCATGTAAAAACATGCTTCTGGCGCAACGGGACACCATGATGAGTGCCAGAGCACACAGAAATGCCATTTACCTTCCCGCCACAGCAGTATCTATTTATCTACTTGCGCTGGTGTGCTTTTGAACTGCTAGGTTGGCAGAAGCTGGGACAAAGCAATAGGAGTTGACTCCGTCATGGGGATTTGAACTGCTGACCTTCTGATTAGTAAGCCCTAGAGGCTCAGTGGTTTAGACCACAACACCAACCGCGTCCCATCTTTAAAGACAACATCATTAGTCATCCTCAAGCTGCCAACCTGTTGAAGCTTAATGCACACAAACAGTTAGGCTCAAAACGGCACATTATGATTCTTAATCCTATGCCCATTTATTTGGGTTTAAGTCCCACAGAACTCAATGGGACTTGCTTCTGAGTAGATATACGCATATGGTGTTGTTATGTGGATTAGTAGTCTGCTGGCCATATTTATTAAATTTATTTAACATATTGTAGGCTGTCCTTTAGGGTCAAATCCATTCATAACAGTATCCAGCACAGAAATTGAGAACATGATCAATAACAAAAAAACCAAAGGGTTAGGGATGCTTGCTGTTAAACCTCCCCTCGGTCCTTTTTCATTTAAAAATACCCTCCCCCAAGCTATTACTTCATCTTTAGAGAAAGGAAGATGTGTATTCCTCATATCCCACCACCCTCATGCTAATTTATGAATGAAAAGGCAGCTTAGTGAGTACAATTCTGACGTGGAAAAGAGCCTGATGGGAAAGGGCTATGCCTGCTTGCCCACTTTTACTGCCTGGAGCCTGCCCAGGCTGCTTTGAGTTTGAAAACGCAGAGGAAAGAATAATGTCACTCCACTTAATGCACAGTTTGAGCCTCCGTTTCATTTATGAGCCTCAGCCAGAGTTCGGATCCCGGGTTTTACTTTCACCTCAGAGTTTGTTCTGATGGCATGCCAGCAGCCAGCTTTCATTAACGGAACTTCTCACACAAGTGATGGAGACAGACACACACTCTCCGAAACCTCCCTCTCCCTGCTGACCATAACATCTCTCATTGCCTAGGTTACAGACTGTTCCCCACCTAATGTTCCTTTCTAAGTATGACGCAGCATTACAATATTCTGGATGATTTCATGGGATCTCGTCTATGACCAAGGTGACATAGGACACTATTTCCTCCCTGTGGACCTTGATAGGGATGAAATGACATATGGGTTGCAGGCAAACAGCAAGACAAACCAAACAGCATTGCCTCGAAATGCCATGATGTGAACCTCTCCAAAAACCACTAGTTACCCTAGTATACAAGTTGCTTCCACGGCAGGAGGAGGAGAAAGCTTTGGGCTCATCCATCCTGACCCTTTGGAGATGTGGACATTTTAATAAGAGCTGGAATCTACACACATTATAGCCAAAAGCCTGATCACAGAATCATAGAGTTGGAAGGGACCCTGAGGATCACCTAAGTCCAACTGGCTGCAATGCAGGAAATATGCAGCTGTCCCTTACGGCGATTGAACCTGCAACCTTGGGGTTATCAGCACCATACTCTAACCAACTGAGCTATCCAGGACATTCCAATCCAGCTCATTCACATACACACACCTATTTCATGTGATGGGCGTGCTGCATGATCAGGATATTTACAGGCGTAAACCCTGGTTCATATTAAAGGTTCCAAGTGTTTGGTGGGGAAGGCTATGCAAGCCTCATTCAAGGCTATGCAAGTTCATTACCATGCATGTACCAGTTAGCTCAAACATCATGACCCTCCAGATTGTGGTACCTCTAGCTTCCGTCAACTTCGATCACTGGACATGCTGGCTGGGGATGATGGGAAGTGGAGTTCATTGCCATCTGAAGGACTGCATGCCCTCCACCTCTGCCTTTGATGCTAAGGCTATGGGCGAGCCTCACCTTTAAGCAGATGGAGAGCAGATGGACTTATTCATGAGTGTGTTTCTCTTCTCAGATTTATAAAAGCATGATTTATTGCAATTTGGTTCCCCCACCCACCTCTTCCACTGTTTTAACTCCCAGCCCTGTTGTTCGGGGAATTACAATGTGTCTAACGGATACAAATGTGAAGTGGCTACCATTCTGAAACTCAGCAAAACAAAAGCATTTCCAGGTCACCCTTTCAAGGGTTTCATTCATTATAAAAGGTGACATCCTGCTGTTCCTGGGGCATCCTGCCCTTGAGTCAGCTCTGAAGGATTGAATGCAAGGCAAACAGAGATGCCAGCAGGAGAGCAGAGTAAAATAAAGAGCTCAGCCTGGCAAAGATTAAATTAAAATACCTGCCTTTCATCAAGTTATGTATTCAATTTGTTGAATTAAAGTTATACAGCTCATTACATGTCTCTTGGCATAGCACTGCTTGCAAGAAGCAAACTCAGCATCGGAGCCACAAGGAAATGGGAAAAAGGCCAGTGTTGCTTTTAATGTTCGAAAGCCACGAGCGGACCCTCCAGGTGTGGGAACATGGAGGAAAGTGGCCTCAAGGCCGTCTGACAGCCAAAAGAGCAGGAGCTAAGCAGCATACAGATAAACAGATCTGCCTGAAAACTCAGGAGAGCAGTCCAGCTCTGGAGAGGAGCATATGCTTTTCATGCACCTTGGCACGAAGAACCAGATGCACAAATATAAGACGGGGGACACCTGGCTTACCAGCAGTACATTTGAAAAGGAGGATCTAGGGGTCTTAGCAGACCACAAGCTTAACATGTGTCAACAGTGTGATGCAGCGGGGGGTGGGATCTAATGTTATTCTAGGCTGCATCAACTGAAATATAGTGTCCAAATCAGGGAAAGTAGCAGTACCACTCTATTCTGCCTTGGTCAGATCACACCTGGGACTCAGCTACATTAGTAAAGAAAAAAGTGCTTTACATGCGTTATAACACTGTGACACCAGATGGCGCTGTAGGGTTCCATCTTTCGCCAACGTAATTTCCGACTTTGAAGTTTACAATGCGTTTTCCTGAAATGCTTTTTTGATGGGTCTAGTTCAAGCCCTGGAATACTATGTCCAATTCTGGGCACCACAAACAACTTAAGAAGGAAGTTGACAAGCCAGGATGTGTGCAGAGGAGGGCAACCAATATGATCAAGGGTCTGGAAACGAAGCCTTATGGGGAGCACTTGAAGGAGCTGGGTATGTTTAGCCTGGAAAAGAGGAGACTGAGGGGAGATAGGATAGCCATCTTCAAATATCTGAAGGGCTGTCACATGGAAGAGGGAACAAGCTTGTTTTCTTGCTCTGAAGGGTAGGACTCGAATCAAGGGCTTCAAGTTACAAGAAGGGAGATTCCAAAGAGCATTCTGACAGCAAGAGCTGATCAACAGTGGAACGGTCTCCTTTGGGAGGTTGTGGACTCTTCTTCCTTGGAGGTTTTTAAGCAGAGTTGGCTGGCAATCTGTCATGGATGCTTTAGTTGAGATTTCTACATTGCAGGGGCTTGCCCTGCAACTCTGTGATTCCATGACTTCCAGAGGGGTTGATATAAACCCCTTGGAGCTTATCAAGATGAAACTCCAGCCTTATATGTATCTGAGCAAATGTGGGGTCAATTACAGAAGTGTGAGCACCCACCTTCTTAGGGTTAGATTGCTATGGCACCTTTCCTAAGTGGCGAGAAGTTCTGGGGGCTCAGCGCTTTCCAGGATTGGTTTCATTTTAAAGGTCGTCGCAGGAGGCGTATGGCACTTTGGAATATATGAGATTTGTTTACAGATATGCAGGTTGAGCAAAGGAGGAAGCAAACAAGCTTACCTACTCCAAAAAGCAAAATCCACTGCCCAACTCAGCTTTCCAGAGAGACACCCTTGTGTCTCTACAAGCTGCTCGCTTGCAGACTCTTCTACATTCAGCTCAGTTCTCTTCCTGGGCCCTTTCCCCCCCGAGGATCATCTTGTCCTACCACCTGCAATTCAAGAATCTCAGCTAAAGCACCCATGAGAGATGGCCATCCAACCTCTGCTTTACCTCAGTACGTTTATCTTCATACATGTTACTTGGGCTGGAAAAATGCATTTGGAGCATTCGGAACTGCATTCAGAGAAATGTGACTTTCAAATGATGGCAACATTTTGGTTCGCACATGGTTTCATAAAATGCAAATTATGTAAGTTCACCATTAAATGCAAACTGAAACCCATCCCTATTCACAACACAGTCAAAGAAGGCCCTTTTCAATTTTTTCCCTGATACAGTCATACCTTGGTTGTTGAACGCCTTGCGACTTGAATGTTTTGGCTCCCAAAAGCCACAAACCCAAAAGTGAGTGCAAACGTTCTTTGGAACCTGAATGTCCAACGCAGCTTATACGGCTTCCGATTAGTACATGAAGTTCCTACAGCCAAACAAAGCTGCACCTGGGTTTTTGAACTTTTTTGGAAGTTGAACGGACTTCTGTAACGGATTCTGAACCAAGGTTCAACTGTATTTACCAATTCCTTAGGCTGTGTGTGTACATAAAGCTGAAGAAAAGCACTTTCGTTTTCCCACATTCATTCTCCCTTTGTCCTCCTTACACAGACATAGGGAAACTTGGCCCTCCAGATGTTTTGGGACTACAGCTCCCATCATCCCTAGCTAATGGGACCAGTCCGTAGTCAGGGATGATGGGAGTTGTAGTCCCAAACATCTGGAGGGCCGAGTTTGCCTATGCCTGTCCTTACACTTCAAACTTTCCCTGTGACTCCCAGCAGCAGCCTCGGGAGAAGCAGAAAGTGTCAACCAACAGCAAAGGAACTCATCTGCAGCTAAGACTTTGTGTAGGCATTTCGGGGAGCAGGGGAAAGAACTCAAAATGCCACAAAGGGCATCTAGGCTTTAATACACCAGATTCATGTTAAGACATGGACAAGGCAACAGTTAAGTCTGAAACAGCAACCACAACAAATCAGTGGTTAGAAGGAAAAATAAGCACAAACTCATAACGTCACTGCAAATGCGATCATCGCAAAAATATTTGCAAAGCAAGAATTCCTAAGCCCTGAAGGTACAAGCATATCGTTCTTCCATCAAAAGTTTGCTTAACTTCAGCTCAGGAAGTCAGAAAAGTGCCTTCACACACTGATCCTTCCCTTTTCTCTCTTTTTCAAGATACAATCCAGAAAAAGTTACCTCTCATCCTCTACCTACTCAGTTAAGAGTTAGGCAGACTGCTCTGTACCTTAATGGTTTGGGCCTCACCGCGCATCTCCGTGGCTCTCCCCTGCGTTTCATTAGCTTATCGCGCCGCAAACACTGTTCCTCATCCCTGTGTTCTTTTCTGCAGCTCGGCTGGTAAATTTAATGCTTATTGCCTAATCACATTCCTCTCAACAGGTGAGGAAGGATAAAACAGCTGGGGGAAAATGACAAAATATTGTGCAGATTTTCTGGTACATAAGCAAGCTGGCTCCCAACTTCACAGGCAGCTACTCCCAGCAGCTCCAAAACTGCAGAAAAAAGGGGGAGGCTTGACCAGAAGCAGTCAATTCCCACGTAAAGGTTAGTGGGAACTAGTCAGCCCCAGGAACAAAAAACAGAGGCGAAGTTGTCTAAATGCCATGTTTTGTGCTCTCCCATTGTTAGTACGGTAATATGATTTATTATCTACTCTTCACCATAAGGGCCCACATAGGATAACAACAGTTTAATACTACAAAATGAAAAACAGCAGACCTTCCAAGTATCCCTATTTTCCAGGGACAGTCCCGGATTTACAGAAGTACTCCCAGTTTCTGATTTGACCCCGGAATGTCCCACTTTTCCTTAGAACGTCCCTATTTTCATTGGAGAAATGCTAACATTGTATGGAGTTATCCAAATCCCCGAGCCATCTGAAGGCAGCCCTGTAGAGGGAAGTTTTTAATTTTTTTACATTTTTTAAATATATGTTGGAAGCCACCCATAGTGGCTGGGGCAACCCAGTCAGATGGATGGGCTATAAATGGTAAAATTATTATTATTATGGAATAGGATGTCCCTATTTTCATCAGAGAAATGTTGGAGGGTATGACAGTTTGGGACAAGAATAGGGTGGGTCCAAATATCTCAGGTGTCAAAGCCGTTGGGACGTAAAGAGGTGTGTCTTCAGAATATAATGCAAGCTGCACAATGAATATGGCAGAAGAGCCTCTCTGGGGTGGAAATTCCACAACTTAAGAGGCTGCCACAGAGGATGCCCTCTCCTGACTTGTCACCTTCTTAAGTTCTGAGAGTGGTGGAACAATCAAGAGCAGCCCTCTCTGCTGATCTTGGCACCCAAGGGTGTCTGTAGGGAGGGAGGTGGTCTTCAAGATACTTTGAGCCTAAGTCATACGGAGGTTTCAGAAAACTAATGTGAGCATCTTGAATTGGACCCCAAAACTGGAAATCAACATTTGCCTGAATATAAGCCGCACTTTCCCCCCCAAATTCCGACCATGGAAAGTTAAAGTGTGGCTTAAATTCACGACCTTGCAAAAAATTACTTTTACAGTAAAACGGAACAGGTGTGAGTGCCTTCAGAATTTTAAGGGAGCGGCTTATATTCAGGTATTGTCTTTTTTCTCCCCCCCCCCTTGAATTTTGAAGGTGCGG